TCTTTCATAACATGTTTTCCTTCTTCTTCCTTTCATATTCTATTCGTACGAACCTATCTTAAAAATCTTGTCGGCATTAAATAACCCATTGATGTGTTAATATGCCGTAAAACAAAATAAACCCAAACCCTGATTTACAAACTGATTTCTAAGAATACATATTCTATTAATACGAAACTACCCTAAAAATGTTGTCGCCATTAAATAACCCATTGAGGTGTTGATATGCCGTAAAAAAAAATAAACTGAAACCCTGATCGATAAACTGATTTCTTACAGAGAATACATATTCTATGCATATGAAGGTTGTCCTAAAAATCTTGTCGGTATTAAATAGCCCATTGAGGTGTTGATATACCGTAAAACAAAACAAAATAAATAAACTTGCTGCTTGATACCATTTCATTTTTGCCCGTCGTTACATTTATTTGTGTTTATACCCATTTGTAGTGTGATAATTTGTTTAGTAATTACTTAATTTGTTTATTTTTTTCGGAGGTTAATAGTCTTATTTGTTTAAAGTATTGGACAAGAATGTTACATTTTAGTTAATTTTATATTTATCCGTGATATTGAGCACCTTAACTCATAAATATATTCTACCTTAAGATTATATTTTTATCATATATCAGGGTGCGACTGGTATTTGAAGACATACAGAGTTAAGATTAATACTGCTCCCGACTAACTTTTAATGCTATTATTTTTCAGAAATCAAGAATGGCAAACCCTATGATAAAAAATGAAGGCCTGCTGTGATTGTGGCATTAATGGCTGATCATAGCAATTTGGATATTGCACGTTTCCTCAGAGTTGCAAGATCGTTTGTCCACAAGATACGAAAAGAGTTAGAAGACGCTGACATTTCCCCAATGTCTATCAAAATGTAAGACATTCTGCACGTTCTGATAAAGTGAGAACATCCGAATTTATTCAGGATGTCAAGCAGACAATTGATGAAAACCGAGTTCAGTCAATGAGGTCAATCAATGAGGTCAATTGCCAAAAAGCTGCATGTGTCTGAAAAAAAAAAAACAATCAGAAGGAGTGTTCATGAAGACATTTGATACAAATCCTACGTGTTGAATAGAGGTCAATTTATGTCTGAAAAAACAAAAGAAAACTGTTTAAACAGATCCAAAAGGCTTTTAAACAAACTTAAAAATCCTTCAGAAGCTGGTGTGATTTGGTTTTTCTCAGATGTGGAAAATTTTGCTCAAGATCAAGAACTTAACAGAAAAAATGACAGATGACTTTGTCCAGATCCTTCTGAAGTGCAAATAGTGATGCGCACAAAATTTCCTTTATGTGTTATGGTATTGGGTGTTGTTAGCAATAAAAGACATGTTATGCCACCAAACTTTTTTCCACAATGTCTTAGAGCAAATGCTGCTACTTGCATTGAGGTTCTAGAAACAATATTCAAGCCCTGGATTGACAACATATGTAACGGCAGGCTTTACATATTCCATCCCACAAGTCTCTACGAACACAAGAATGGATGGCTGACCATTTGTACGCCCACATCACACCCAACATTTGGCCTCCTAACTCTCCAGATCTTAATCCACTAGACTATTATATGTGGAGCCTTGTTGAGAAGGAGGTTACTAAACAGCCTGATAACACCAAAGACTCTCTTAAAGCTGCAATAGTTCGAGTAATGTCTGACATAAATAAGGACCAATTAATGAGAGCTTGCAGCCGATTTTGACCTCGTGTAGTGGAAGTTATTGATGTTAATGGTGGTTTTATTGAATAAAATTAAATAATAGTTAGCTAAATTTCATGTTTACTTGTTTGAACTCAAATATAATTATATTCATTTGTTCAGCAAGCTTTTTACTAATCCATAAAATCTGTCCTCAAATACCAGCCGCATCCTGTATATATTTGTGGGTGTGAGTGCCTGCCTACATCTGTGTGTTTTTATGTTTTATAAAATGATAAAAATTCGTCCCGGAAAAACATAAATATTCACTTTGCGAGGAAAGCCGTCATGCGAAACCCTGTCAAATGTCTTCGAGGTGTCCAAACCAACGGTCCGAGTGTCACCATTCTTATCTAAAGCTTGAAACTCTCTTTCAGTAATAATTGTTAAACCATCAGCAGGGGAACTAGAGAAGCAAAAGCCATACTGCTAATCTGAAAGAAGACCCTGTGATGTGAAATGCTTAACCAGTTGAGAGTTGATTAGGCGTCTAGTAATTTGCCAAAAATAGGTAGAAGGTTAATAAAACGATAGCTGGAAGGATATGACAGTTCACTAGAACTACCGAAACGGATTTCAAACAGGCTGGAAAACGAGAAGCAGCCAGGCATTTATTGTAGGGTTTCGAGAGAACAGGAGCCAGTTCAGGAACACATTTCTTAAGGAGTAGTGCAAGGGTGTCACAGGTATACGTGCGTTGTAGAGATGCAGTGTAGAGATGTTTTAATTTAAAGTATTGGTTTTATTTAAAGTATATTACATTTTAGTTACTTTTATATTTTCATACGCCCCATCCCTGATATTAAGCACCTTAACTCATAAAAGATATCATACCTTAAGTCTATCTTTTTATCATATATATATATATATATATATATATATATAATTTGTGGGTGTACGTGCTTGTATCAATACAGCGTGTATAAATATTAAAAATGGACACTGAGGTCAACTCTAAGCGAGGAGAGTCTGTTTCGTGCTTGAACGCAATCTTCAGGCCATGTGTTGTCTTTGGGCTCGACTATTTATATATGCTTGTCAGTGTGGCATTATGGGCAACAAGATCAGGTATTTCCGGTTTATTGTAGCATCCTTATGGTTACTAGGTCGGGACAACGTTCATTTTTCAAATTATCTGGAACTATTATGTGAAGCATTATCAAGCATTATTATTATGATGATGATGATTATTATTATTATGATGATGATGATTAGTATTATTATTATTATGACGATTATTATTATGATGATGATGATGATTATTATTATTATTATGATGATGATGATGATTAGTATTATTATTATTATGATGATTATTATTATGATGATGATGATTAGTATTATTATTATGATGATTATTATTATGATGATGATGATGATGATTATTATTATGATGATTATTATTATGATGATGATGATGATGATTATTATTATGATGATGATGATGATGATTAGTATTATTATTATTATGATGATTATTATTATGATGATGATGATGATGATTATTATTATGATGATGATTATTATTATTATTATTATGATGATTATTATTATGATGATGATGATGATTATTATTATTATGATGATGATGATGATTATTATTATGATGAGGAGGATGATTATTATTATTATGATTATTATTATGATGATGATTATTATTATTATGATGATGATTATTATTATTACGTTGATGATGATGATTATTATTATTACGTTGATGATGATGATTATTATTATGATTATTATTATTGTTAGGATTATTATTATTATTATTATTATTATGATTATTATTATACACTTTTATCTGTCAACACCGGAAATAACATGAGTTACTCTCTATCACGTCTAAAGAAATTTCTATAGAACATTTTTTCTTTTTTTTTAATCGGATTCACCCCAAGCAAGGCATTAATGTCACCAAAACACAAGGGTGTGGACGAATTAGGAAGAGAAACATGAATGATGAGCAGAAAGATAAGAGAGTAATCAGGTGGACAGTTGATAGCGATTGACATTGCTTTAATATTTTTGAAGACTAAAGTTGGCTGGAAAGCAACAAGTCGAAAGGCAGTTCGCCAAGCGAGAAGCACGAGAAAAGAAAATGTTAGCATAGAACTTACGGTTACATCTAGTCAGATCACATGTAAATTGACGAGATCTCGACGCCAGTCTTGTGCTGCGTTTAAATTTAAAAAGTCTAAGTACCACAGCGAAGAGCGCATTCGAATAATTACCATGAAAATATTTACGGCATAGCGAGGCAACCTATAATGGTGGTGGAAAAGTTGACTGGAGTTGAGCCACCAGATAAGGACCGATATTATTGCAGATTCTTTTCTGGATCTTATCAAGGAGCTCAAGGTAAATAGCAGGCGTACCGGGCCAATATTCTAAGCATGGATGAATGGTAGACTTATAGATATGAAGGATAAAGAGTCTGGAGCTAAAACTCGTCTTGCCCGAGATAGTGAATCGATTTTCTTAGCAGCTATCCTAGCAATGGATTCAATATAGTCTTTCCATTTCATGTCAGTCGAGAACGTTAGTCGAAGAAAACCCAATGAGCACCGGACCATATGTGGCAGCAATATTCGAGGCATGGACAAATGGTAGAATTATATATATGTAAGAGAGTTTATTGAGAAAGAAATTGTCTCGTACGACACAGCGAATTGACTTTCTTAGCAGCTGATCTAGTCATGGATTCAATAGAGTCTTTCCACTTCATGTAAGCTGAGAACGCGTGCCTGAGAAGGCGCAACAATTTACTGCTGATTCAAGGCAGCAAGTGGCCTCTCAGATGATTAAAGAAGAGAAGTTTAGTTTTGGAGGTGTTAAGATTAACAAACCATCATTTACCTCAACTAACGATAGGATTGGGGTCGTTTTGACATCTGCAACCATTTTGACCTTGTCAGTCTGATAAGCCTTACTATCGAGTCAGGAGTAAATTGTCGAGTCCTCGGCGTAGATACCAATTTGAAACTGATGTCATCAGGAAGGTCATTAATGAAAATTAAAAATTAGCATGGATAGAGCCCTGGGTGTACTTGCGTTAATACAAAATGATCTAGAGGAGTGGCCCTTCAAGATGATTTGAAAGGAAAGACAGCCTCATTTAAAAAAAAGTGTCCAGAGACACCGTAACTCTTCATCTTGTGGAGAAGACCTGTATGCCAAACCCTGTCAAAGACTTTCGAGATGTCCAAAGCTACATCCTGGGCTTCACTGTTTTTATCTAGAGCATGATAGGATATATAAGATAGAATCTGGAGGGAAAAATTGTCTC